AGGTGAGAGCGGTACCTGCTGCAGGTGGTGGGTGGCCTCTCGTAGCTCCTGCGTATGGTGGCTCCTTTGTGATCCTTGGGCTCTGTGAGCGGCTGGTTGTCCTGGATGATTCCTTGGATCACGGAGCTGCCGCTCTTCTTCACCCTCTTCAGGTCGACCACGTAGGACGAGACGGTGGACAGGTGGTGGGACACGGCGATCTGATGAGAGCAGAGGTTAGAGTGTGGTGGAAGGAAACCTAAAGCCCTGAAACCACTCTGTGCCTCAGAAAGGTTCTGACAGCAGGTCTGTGGTGCTCAGGTGGATCTGTCACTAAGAGAAAAAGGCTTCATCTGAATGTGAAGAAACAGCATCAGAGCTTCTGGGAGGATCTGAGCATCAAACACTTCAGTTTCATCTGAAGAAACTGTATGCACCATTAGTTTCTGTTCTGCATCAGTTTATGGTAAAATGTCTTTATGACATAAAGGAAACCAGGTAACAGGTCAGAATCTGACAGAATGTGATGGATCCAAGTCCACCAGATTCAGACGCCGTGTGAGCTCATGATTCCTACATGAGTCTGAGCTCTCGTGTCTGAATAACGTCTTCTGCTTTGTTCCTGTCTCTATGGGGACAGACTACCCTGAGCACCTCCAGCAGCTGACTGGTCACAGTTGGTTCTGTGGAATCTCGTGAACCTGAACACACCAGCTGTTGGTTGCAGACAGCCAGGTCGGACACCTTCCCCCAGCCCACCGGCACCGTGTCGAAGCAGCGGTCCGGTTCCCAGCCGAACACCCGGAGGCAATCTGTGGCTCCGCTGTACAGACAGCAGCCGTCTGGACTGAACCGCATGCACCTGAAACCACAGAGTCACAGGTCAGAGGTCACAGAGGTCAGGGGTCATGTTCCAGCAGCACGTTGTCCAACCTGCCGTCTTGATAAAACTCACCTGACTGGAGTCGTGTTTCCCTCCAGCGAGCCGATCATGGTAAACTTCTCCAGATCCCACAGCTTGATGGTCCTGCAGGAAACACAACAAACACAAACATCCAGCAGGACGCTAACAGACTTCAACCAGGAAATAAACCTGTAAGTTCCTACAAACCCTGACTGAAGTGACCACAGAGACACAGACCAAGGACAGACATGCAGAACAACGGTCCTCATGTGATCAGGTGGGATGAGGACATTCGCTGGTTGGTCCAGTTACACAGACTCGAGCTGATCCTCCGACTCAGACCCACAAGTCTCCACTTCAGCTGCTCCTACACTCACCAAACTGTCCAGTTCTATTCCCGGCTGGGTTCTGAAGGTTTTATATGGACGGATCTAATTTACAGAACATGTTTTACTAAAATGTTGTTGACTCAGCTCCCAGTCTGGGTTCTGGAGGCAGACACCCTCTGTGCTTTAAGGTCAGGATGAAAACGTTCCTCTGTGATAAAGCTGATAGTTAGAGCTGCTCAGGATCACCTGAACTGTCCCTCAGTGATGCTGCTGTAGCTTCAGGCTGCCGGGGGACTCCCATGATGCACTGGGCTCCTCTCCTCTCTACGCTCCTCTCTACGCTCCTCTCCTCTTCTCTCCCCTCCTCTCCTCTCCTCTCCTCTCTACGCTCCTCTCCTCTCCTC